TGACCCTGGAAAGGACTTCCCCCCCCGCCCCCCCCCCCAAAAAACATATGCATTGATATGGATATAAGGAAAACAAAAACCCCACAGCTGCTCCGCCTGCAGGGCTTTTCCAAATAGCAGAATGGATCAAAGGATGTTTTTATTTCCTTGTGAAGAGGAAAAATTCATCACTTTATAAATCACAACTAAAACAAGTCAAATCAATACCAGGAGTTTTTTAATAATAATGCATTTCTTGTGGTTGTCCTCAGCCTAGGTCTCAGCAGTGGGTGCTGCACACAGCTAAAAAGAGTGAACTCAAACCTGTCTCTGACACTGGCTTTCATTTAGCATTAAGGATTTAACTGGAGTACCAGACTGCAACATCCCAAACACAGACGTGTTTAGAATCCGAGAGCTAAATCTGTATTTTATAGCTTGAGTTCATCTGAACTGTGAAATGGTATTATAAAATAAATTTTTCCTTTCTTCAGAATTCAAGAACATGTTGGGTAGTTTTACTTTTTTCATCTGTTGTGTGCTGTAGCTGGGTCGTTAATGCACTTTGCCCAGTTGTTAGCCACGCATCCTGAATGTCTTCTGTAGACCATTGCGATTTGAACACCTTTTTTGGTTGATGAATAAAGGAGAAGCTCTCTCTCACCTTCTGTGGAATGTGTTGGCTTCTATCCTGATGAATGTTACTGTAGGATGCCGTCATTTATTTTAACTGTGTTGAGAGAGTTTCAAAGCCGTTATATGATCTTGTTACAAGCCAGCAAATTCGTACTGTGTATTGCAGGATGAAAGTTAGTGCTGAGATCACCAAATAACACTTACTTTCAATAGAGCTTTAAAAAATTCTGGCCCGTGAATTTTGTGATTAGAAGTAGATCATCTATTAACAACTCAGTGCACGGCTAGGGAATAGGTCCAAGTGCTTCCTAAATTGGAGAAGTGTTGGCTGGGTACAACAGTGAGCAGTAAACAGGGTATTAAAAGCTATGAGTAGTAGAGAAAAGGATTAAGAAAAAGAGAAAGTTTTGTATTACCTCAGAAATAACTGAGTCATGCAGTTGCTTGGTGCAGGCATGAAGTTATTACCAAGGGAAAAAACACACCACAATATTTTATTGTCCCTTCTTTAGGTGTTAGGCCTCCAAGACTAAAACCAAATATATATGGGTATTTCTTTGTTTTCAGTTTTCCTTACTAACATTTCATGTCTAGACAAAGTGCAACAGAGAAAGCTGTTTCTTAATTATTTAGTAATAATTAGTAATGTGAATTAATGTTGTGCTGCCACTACATTGACCCTTTCTTATACATACATTGCATTGGTCAGATATCCAAGGATACTACTGCAGTGTTTTCACTTAAAGTGTAACATTTTCTTTTCTTTTCTTTTTTTTCAGGTTGACTTTGAACAACTCCAGGAAAACTTGTGTCAGATGGAAAGACGGTGCAAAGCATCATGGGATCACCTTAAGTCTATAGCAAAGCATGAAATGAAGCCAACTCTAAAGCAAAAAATGTCTGAGTTCCTTAAAGACTGTGCAGAAAGAATCATAATCCTGAAGATTGTTCATAGAAGAATAATTAACAGGTACAGAATTAGATTGGTGATAGCAATATCTTGATAATAAATCACTTGCTAAAAATATAAATTATGACATCATAAATATGGTTTTTATAAGTGTTTTTAATCCACATTCCAGCAAGTAATGTTACAAGGATGTATGTGGTGCATACTTTGTTATAGACACCATTTAAGAAAGATCCCCGCTCCAGAAAGTTTCTGTATTTCTGATGAAAAGAAGCAATGATCCATGCAGTCATTTATTCCCAAGGTGCAATAACTGGTCTTTTAACTCCTAGTCCCCAAAGGCTAGCAGCTTTATGGTTAAGTTGCTATATTTTCTGTCCTTCCCTGAATACTTTTGAGGAGGGTTGGCTTACTCTCCGATAAACAAGAACGGGCTGGAGCAAAAAAATGAAGTTCTAATGACAGATTTGTCATATGCAGAAGTTGAAACAATTCTTGTACAATGAGTTCTTCTATAGGCAGCACCACTCCTATTTGCAAGATCTACGACTATGTGTTTTATGCCTACGCAGCAGAAGACAGAATTAAGATTTCTTTCCGTAGGACTTGCTGTTGAGTTTAGTTTCATCCAATGGAGTTAACACTAATTGCAGTGCTTTGAAATGTACATATTCACAATAATTCTGCAATACACCTGAGCTTTTTTTTTTCAAATTCACAAATGTAGCTTAAGTCCTCTGAGTAATTTATCTATGTTCCTGCTTATTAATGAAATTTTGAGAGATTTTCCCACTTCTGAATAATTTCCAGATTGCTGGGGTCAAAATTAGGATCTGGATTCCAAATGATCCCAACTTTGTGGATATACACTTGACAAGTTGATTCAGCTCTTCTTTTGTTTTCATAATGACTTGGTTTTCATGCCATAAGTAAGCAGAAATCCCAATTGCAGTGGAAGGGAAGTGAATTCACCGGTTTCCTGTTGTGTTTATCATATGCATTGTACAAATAAGAAAAATATTAACTTTTTCCTATTATGTCCTGCAACAACTACTATAGTTCTCCAAAAGCGTATCCATGTACTTGCATCTTTCTAGGACTGGGAAGGCTTTTTGTTGTCAGGGATGTAGGGATGTAGATGCGTTTAAGAGGAATTCCCATACATTTTTAAACCATCAGTGCACTATTGTAAATCATGCACTATAGACGCAATAGTAAAAGTTGCAAATAGTGCAAAAGCTCTGAATGCCACAGAAGCAGTAAAACTGTGACTTGAGAGGATCCCAAACTAAAGCACTTAGTAGATAATATAATTTTATGGTCAGTTTTGTGAACCAGAAATTCTTTCCTTCTTGTGTTTGCTAGCCTGTAAATCTGCATTCTTCTTGTCTAGACTTTCCCCAACATCCTAACAGCCTCTTTGAAGTTGCTTAATACAAATAAATAGAATTGAAACTTAATAAATATTTTTTCTATAACTGAAATGAAATTGGTCATTCATGTGCCAAATTAGTCATGTAAAGTCGATGGAGTTCCATAAACATCTTATCTCCTGCATCAGCCTGGGAAAGTGGACTGGGATGAAGTTATCATAGAGTAGATTTTCATGGTTTTAATTATAAAACATGCCAGTGTTATGCAAAGCATCCATGAAAATTCTGTAGCACAAAAGAAATTATGGGAGCTAATAAAGTAATAAATGGATTCACTGAAATGTAGGTTTTTTTTCCAGAAACCATCAATAAAGATTTTTTCCCTTTGCATTTATGAACTCATTGTTTTCCAGGTTTCACTCATTTTTGTTATTTATGGGCCATCCTCCCTATGCAATACGTGAAGTCAACATCAATAAGTTCTGCAAAATTATTAGCGAATTTGCTCTGGAATACCGCACCACCAGGGAACGAGTTTTGCAGCAAAAACAGAAACGAGCTAACCACAGGGAAAGAAACAAGACCAGAGGGAAAATGATAACAGATGTAAGTGGCAAAATGTATCTCCCACAGCATGGATTTTTAAAACGTTCTTTCTTTGAATGTCGTATATTAAGTACTGTTACTCTTTATTTTTATTCTTAAGAGATTCTTCTACTGTAAGTAATGAGCTCTCTTCTCTTAGAAGGCAAAACTTGCAAGTCCTGGATTGTGTATATTTTTTGCTTCGTACTAATTTATAGAATGAGAACAAACTGAAATTAAGCATCCAAAAAGAGCATCTCTGTGTATTGCACAGACAGTGCCCAAAATATCTAGAAGACACCAGGAGCTGCGCGTACCTGATCAGAATATGAAAAAGGAAAAAAAACTTAGAAATTAGGCTCCTAATTGAGGACATGATTTAAATGATGAACCATTGCAGCCATTTAAGTGGTGACAACCAGATTTAAATAGATTTTTTTCGTCCATCTTTGAATATTCTAATATAGTCTTTAATCTTAGTATTTTATCTGGGTTTATGTATATGCATATATACGCGTGCACACACACAGCAATTTTCTTCTTAACTTTAAAGCACAGAACAGCCAATTCTATAGGAACAGACTACTTCGGCGTTCTGAAAGAACAGACAAATTTATGTTCACAGTAGACGTTGCCCTGCAAACTTTTTGACTGTATGATTGCATACTGATAGAATAAATTAAGATTAGTTTTCTCAGCATAGTAAGCTTCAAAACCCCCTTGATTTTTCTTTTTTTTTTTTTTTAAGTTGATGCAGTGCGACTCAATCCAAATAAAGTTTTAAGAAGTGCCAGTACTTAATAAAAGTTTCCAGCTGTCTCAAAATCCAAATCTGGAGTCTCGATTAGATGCGAGTGGTTCGTTGCATATGAAGCTACCCCTGCCTTTGGCATGAAAAGCCCTAAGCTGATTACAGTTTTATGGCTCAAGCAACGTGGATCAAAATATATATATATGTATTGAGACTGATATAAATTGAGATTGTATTTAAGTCATTGACTCATGATCATTTGTAGATCTTTCCTGGCAATATCCTCTTTAAATTTGGAAATCTGCCCCATCTAGAGAAAATGTTAAACCTGTAATATTATCTCAAAAGATTTTGCTTTTGGTCTAGCCTCAGGTTAAGGAAGAGGCTCTGATTTTATGCGAAGGGTATAATATAGTCATACAAATTTTCAAAACTACCACTGTGGAACTGAGATCACTTTCTTCAATTGCTTCTCGGTTTTCCTGCCATATTCTAGAGGAGCTAAAAGATGGCATTAACCAAAGAGATTAGTAAATTGAAATGTTCATTTCCTCATACTTTTTCCTAGTTTAAACAATACTGAGATGTGAAGGAGTTACTGTTTTCCTGCTGTATGGTGTAGTGTTTCGGTATTATCTGTCCAGAAGAACTGGCTGTGGCAGGACAGAAAGCTTCTCTACGTCCTGTTGCTGCAGGAAACGTGAGGGCAAAAGCAAATCTGATCACTGCCAGTGGAGAGAAGGGACCCTTTCAAACCAGAAAAAGGCTCAGGGTTGACAGCCAGTCAGTGAGAAGCAGAGCCAGGGACGATGGCTGCTTTCTGAAAATGTAAGAAAGGAGGCAGCTAGGCCTTTCCCAGAAAAACGTATTATTGGAATAAGGTGTCTCGTTCAGCTCAAGGTAGCGTTGAGGTTTGACAAGAATTAAATGCCATCTGACAGCTAGTGTTCCACCTAAAAACATCTTGCAGGTCCCCAGAAAGGGAGCATTTTTTGCCTATCCCTAATTTACAATTATATAATGGTCCTATTAGCTTAAAACCAAAAAGCCTGCTGGAGTAAAAAAACACATTCTTTAAAATTCCCCTTATAGAGATGTTCTTTAGGGGAGTTATTCATGTGGCCAGATGGTTATTTCAGGACTTAGTAAATCTCTTTAACTGTAGCCCAGTAATACGGCCTCGTTTACCATTCATTTGATTGCAGTACATGGTAAAACAGAATTAAAGTTGCATCAGACTATTTGTCACAGCTTCCTTTAACAACTTCAAAGTCAGATCTACCTCAAAACAAGTTTCCAAGTCAGCAGGATGGAAGATACTTCTGTGTGAGGAATGATGAAAAGGGGGAGTTTTATTGTAGTCTTGTGGTGGCTGTGGTTTGTATCTGGTCTTGATTTTCTTAGTGTTTTATATTTGAAGGCATTGGAAAGGGAAGATATATCAGTAATGCATTGACAGTATGTTCAACTAGTTACAAAACACTGATAGAAGAAAGTTTAGATCTTGACATTGGAAAAAAATTCTTTGTAGAAAGTAATTCTAATAAGAAGTAGTCATATGGAATTTTAATTTCTGCTTTTGGTGACCTAGAAGGATTGTGCGGTTATTTGATATTTACCTCCCTGTCCTTTTGAAAGTTTCCTCAGGATCTCATTTTTATCACCTTGCAGTATATAGCTTTTAGGCAGAAGAAGAGGGATTTTAGCAGAAATGGGAAAGGAATAAGCCAGAACCATCCCAGTTTTTAACGAGAAGGCACGTATCTCTTAAACCTTGGTCCCCCCTGCAGACTTGGAAGGCAGAGGGGGTGCTGGCTCTTTGCGTGGAGAGAGTCTGCTGGCTCTTCACGTGGAGAACTTGCATCAGCTTCAGCAACTGCTCACATGGAGTAGGGCTGAGAAACATGATGGGGAATGTTTCCAGTCTTTCTTTCAACCTTTTACCACAGATATCTTTATGTTTATATGTTCTTTAATAGCTGAAGTGGACTGGGCACTGTCAGTTTAAACCTTGGTGAATGTTGTCTGCAAGAGAGAGAAAGATGGAGGTAGGGGTAAGGAAAAAAAAAAAGGGAGAACAACAGTTTCACGGGGAAAATTGCCTAGTCTCTGTAACCTTATATCTGGCTTTAGCCAATGATAGCACTCATTTCAGGCACACTAAAAATAACAAGCAAGCAAAATAGGGAAGAAATGCAATTATAGATACAAGTCTGAGCTTTTTAATGATTTTTAATAATAGTAAGTAATATAAGCATCTGTCTCCCAGATTTATGAAGCTCTGCTTTTTACGATACCTAAAGAGTTTCAATTCCAAAATTGCTATGTAATAGAAATAATATTTTGAAACGGCAAATCCACCGCATAGAAATGCTAGCCTAAAGGAAAAATGGGAAGGAGAGATAGAGGAAGGGAGGGAGGGAAGGAGGGAGATTTCATATTGTCCTGCAACATCCAGTACTGGATGACAGAAGAATCAAGCAGCCTTTTTTTCTTAAAATTAACATTTTGTGCCTGCAAGAGGTATTCAGTATAGCAATATTCATTCAGTGCTTTTTGGTAATATTACATGTTAAAAATTTCCTAATTTATCAATGTTTCTCAGTGTGTTTATACTGATGAAATGAAGAAGGAAATAAAAGGCAGAATGTACACACCTGGGTGAGAGCAGATTCCCTTGTGGAACAAAAGTCTGATTTATTTATTTTGCTACTTTGACTCCTGTTGTCAGTATTTGCTGGGGGCAAATGGCTCTCCAGGCGTGGAAACGTGATGGGGATGGTGAACTGCTCTGCCTGTGCACTGGAGTACCTTTGGGTGTAAAAGGACAGTGGTTCTTGGTGTGAGCCCTCTCCACCCAGAGCAGGAGGGAGGGAAATGGTAATGCCCTGGGTGCTGGAGGTGAGCAAAGTCAGAGAGGAGTACATTGCCCTTAAAGTAAGTCCACAGCAGGTCGCTTTTAGCTAGATTAAATGGGCAGGGAGGCCAGCAGCTGGGACTTTCCCTGTAAAAATCTAGCTTGGTATAAAGTAATAATATAATACACTTTTGTTTGGAGCACACTCTTTGTAATGTTTGCACTCTGCTCTTTCACCTTTCCCTGAGTGCCTTTTGCATATTGTTTAGCTTAATTTGCTCTCCTCCTGCCTTTTATTTATTAGATAGATGTACATATGGATTAGAATACAAGTATGTTCTTACTTCCCATTCTTCTCCTTTCTGTTTCTTATTCATGCCAAAAAGTGAACAGTGTCCGCCTTCAGAAGAATTGCTTTATGGTGTGACTCTGTGCCCCCCCGGGGATGAAAAAAACCAAACGGATCTTTTTAATGTAAAGGGAACATACCTGCCGAGGTCCCTCTGCAAAACATCTGCCTGTGTTTCTGTTAGTGCCACTGTGTCCAAAGAAAAATAAGCATCTCACTCTTTGAATAAAACATACCCTTAAAAAGTAATGTGAATGTGCTGCTCAGCACTCTCACAGCTAATCTTCTTATGGAGATTGTGCTGAAACTAAGCTGAGGGCCAAAGTAAATCAGGCTTTCATTTTTAATGATGAATGTTTCTGGAACAGAATGTATCAATCCCAGACAGAAATCATAGCTGAGATGGAGATAAGGTCAAAAATATGTATTAGTAACACTAGGGAGGGGAATAGAATTGGTGGAATGCTTCTTCTAAAAAACAAAACAAAACAAAACCCACAAATAAAAAAATGCATCAAATTTCTGGGCTATGTTTGCACTTTATAAGCAATCAAACTGAAAATTATGGAAACAAGCAGCCCAGATACTTGAGAAACTGTGTTTTACTTTGGGAACCTTCCATGTGGGGCATCTTACAACCCGATGAAGAATTCCCCAGGCATTTGGGAACACAGTTCCAAATAGTTTGCTAATTCCCTGTAAATCCCCAAATTTAAGAACACTCTGTGTGCCGCAATATTTTGATATCCCCATTGCATTTAATGTAGTGTAGCTGTCAAGATAGTTTTACATGCCTGCTGTCACAGAGGGTGAAAGCCCTGAGTGACAAAGGATAATTGCATGTCTCTGATTTCCAGGATCTGATATCGTGCAGCTACTGAAGAACTTTAAGCATTTATTCTATTTATTCAGCATTTGATTTGAGTGCTCTGTTAAATTGGAAGTTGAAAAGCCCCGGTTTAAAAAAGGAATTAAAACAGGCACTTAAGTGTAGAGAAAAGGAATTGCCAAGAAGCTGACCTCTGCACTGGGAGAAAAAGAAGCCAGGACCTCCCTGTGCTCAACAGAGCTGGAGAAAGGAGAAGGCGTCCTTCCTAGTGCTCTCAGTTTCCACAGGGCAAAAAGTGAGCAAGCAACCACATGACTCAAGGGAGAGAAATAGGTAGTTTCAGTTCATAATTTCTCTAAGAAAAATCAGGAAATTCTTATATACCCTACTGAGAGTGACACTCTGTTCTACATACAATTAAAAAAAAAATAAGCAAGCTGATTGTCTAAGGAATGAATTCCCTATACGCTTTTTATTTTTATGTCCTCGTATAATTGTGTAAACAGTACCATGGTTACCTCTTACTCTGTCGTGGTTTGACCATACTGTCTTTCCTAAATCTTGCTGTTTGTCCTTCTCCACCCTGTCCTTTGTTTCCGGTGGCAGACTGATGAAGAAGAGGACGCTGAGGTATGGTTCTCTGAAAGAGCATGTCATTCCCATGTCCCTCGTGTGCTGTGACATCTAATTTCTAACTCAGATAGTAGGACCGCTCAACTCCATCTGCTCAATTGGAATTATGAACCATGACGTTTTTCTCATAGCTTTTTGGCTCAATCATAAGAATGCATTTTTACAGTCAGCTTTAACCATATGCATACCTGCTCTCTTGAATAAGGATATCCTGATCTGCAGCCTCAGTAATTTTAAGTTTCCTCATTTCCTTAATGTCTGTTTACTAAACTGCAAAGTATCCCCACTGCCCAAAACATCAGTGATCTGAATGTTATGGGGATCATCAGTTACCTTGGGCTACGGATTATCATGATAATTTCATACTCATTATTAAGCTGCGTAAGTCCAAATGGTATTATTTTATAAAGTGTTCAAAAGCAAATTGTAATGGTTCTCCTTGCTGTATGAATTGCGAATAAGATACTTCAGTCATCATAGAGGTTAGCCATGGAGTAGTTCATGTATTTATCATAAAGTGCTCCTGAAGATGATGTTGAAAATGAATAAAGGAGAATAAATAATTTAAGAACTATACTGTGCTAGCTATATTCAAAATAAAACAATTTATTGGTTTGAGGAGCATCTATTGTGCAATGCATTTTTTGTTCAGCATTAGAGCTTTCTTCAATTTGCTGAACATAAACAATGTGGCTTAATGCTCACTGTTTCATAATGGCAGTCATTTGCTCAAGAGGCTGGGGCTTGGTCATTAATCTATGGCAACATCTGAAAATTAAGGAAGTGAAATAAAACTTCTGGCTATAGAGCTTCTCCCCCAGTGACGATTTGTGCTGTATAGCTTGGGGCGCAGAAGGAAAATTACACAAATTATCCTTTTTATGCCAACATTTAACTAACCTGTGTGCATAGTAACTAACAGTTATGCGAAGACTTTGTCCTTTGGGTTTTTTCTGAGATGGTATTGATCACCTTTACAACCCACTGTATATAAAAGAGTATTTTTAATGCAAAAATGGCATGCACTTTCATAGAAGTTTCTCCCTAATGTTTTTCTGTCTTTTAATTTCACATGTGATACTCTAGCACTTGCACACTTTCCACATCAAAATGTTGCAAGCTAATATTTAAACAAGAAAACAAATTTCTCACTATCAAAAATAAATCTCATACTGGTATATTTAGCTCAGTGCCTTGTAGGGATTATTGTTTTGCTACTCAGTTAACTTGCTATCCTACCCCGAAAAGTTATTATGTTAAAATAGAATCATCCTGTCATTGATTTCCAGATTAAATATTTTCAGTTTGCAGTCTTGACAGCCCTGGGGACTAGATCAAAGCTCTGAAAGGAGGGCCCAGTCTTTTCTTCCAATTTACCATTCTCTGACAGAAAGGCTCAGCAGGTTTGCATCCCTTTAACTGACTGGCTCGATACCGTCAGGTGAATAATTAATGTTGTTTTTTATGCAAAGGAAGAAGTGAATGCAGCACACCACCTTTCATCTGTGCTGAACTGGTAGAAGTAAGAAAGATTAAAAAGGAAAAGAAAACATATTTCAGTTTCTGATGCTGGACTGATATGACTGAAAATACCGAGGGATATTATTATCTGTTGATGCCTGTTTGCTGCTGACAGAGCCTGTCTTTTCAGCATCCAGGACTGTATTTTAAATGTGCTTTAGGCTTCCTGTAGGTAAGAGCAGTGAATCGAATACCAACATCACAGCCCTTTGTAGGCAGAGGCTGGAAAGGGAGAGCAGCCCAGTGATGCAAGTTCTTCTGATTAGAAAGTATCCATTGCTGCTGTTTTCATCTGTTTCTAGACGGCTGTTTTCAGTAACCAGTGGAGCTGCTGCATCCACATGCTATGCAAGCCCAGCTAATGTGGCCGCTGTTTTTAACGTAGTCGTGGTGACAGGGAAATCACGGGAGGGGCAGGGAAGCAGAGAGCAGATTCCTAAATCTCTTGTAAGGTTTTGTTTGTTCTTCTAACTGCTGACTGCACTTTTTGTGTTTTGGTCATGAAATAATTTGGCTGGGTGTTTTGGGACCAGGGATTTTTTCAGCGTCACTGGTAGTGTATTTTAAGGTTACTTGTAGGTATTTGTGTTTTAGACAAGTTTGAGAGTTTTCTGTGCAGCAATGCAGAGAGGCAAGAGGGAAAAATCTCTCTTCCCAGACTGCTCTCCCAGTTTTGCCTTGTTACTGAAAGGTGATGGTACAGGAAAAAGCAATTTCTTATTTGTGTTGGGTCTCATGCTGTCTACCTCAGTGTCATACCTGACCCCAGATCAGGCCCAACCTGGGTCGAAGGTTTCAAAGCAAGCTTTGTAACTTATACTCTCAGATGGAAGGTCAAAGTTATAAGGCTTGCGCTGATGCATCTGGTTTTCCTCTGATTTTGTCTGCTGCTCCCTGCCATCGCCCTGTTTCCAGTTTATTTCTGCTCAGGGTGCATGCTCTGGGAGAAGAGCAACTGTTGCCTGGCTCTTTTGGGAATATCTGCACTCCAAACCAGCTCGAGAGGACACTTCTCTCCTTGCAATTCACGGTCGAGGCTCTGGCCCATTCTCCTTGCTGTTTTCTGTTAAAACAACAAATCCATTTTCCTCCCACAGTCTGGCAAGTTTTCCAGCACCTCTCCCCCCTGCCAGAGCCAGCCCCAGGGGCTGCAGTACGCCGAGGACGCTGCAGAGCACGAGAACATGAAGGCCGTGCTGAAGACCTCCTCCATCGGCGGGGAAAGCACCACAGCACTCGGGATCCGCACTCGAAGCCGGGCCAGCCGAGGTAAGTGCCAGCAATTTCCTTCCGGCCACCTCTCTTGTGGCGCGGTAGCCACACAGTGGCCCAAATGCAGGTCGTGGCCCTCTTGTGTAGAGCTCGCGCCAGAAAGGGTTGAAGGGGAAGACGACGACCCCAGTGGTGTTTCTGCACTGGAGGTGGTCATTTGGGGCACGGGGATGTAGGAGAATTTGCCTGAAGTTTTAACACATGGATCACAGCCAAAGGAATGCCTGGGTGTGTTAGGAGTACCTATCCCCCCACCTTGGTGAACATGGCTGCCCACTAGCACCCCAATTTTTATTCCTGTTCTCATCATGAAGGCAAAATGGGGGATCCACGATACAGTTTTCTTTTTATTTTCAACAGAAGCAAGTAGAAAGTAGCAACTCAAATTGAAGTGAAAGGGCCTTGCAGCATTTTAGAAATGACTGGGGAGAGGAAAAAGGGAAAGAAAAGATGGCGAATCTTCTAACCACCTCCCTGCTAAACCGCAAAGCTAGTGGATTAAGTAGAGCCTAGGAGCATAAAAAGCTGCTGTGGACAGCCCCGCATCTCCTTGCTGTCCTGACAGATACCTCTTTCTCTGAGGTCCACGGCGCTCTGCTGTTTCCAAATGTCAGCACAAGTGATTTCTGAAAGCTGACAGGGAGGAAATGAAAACCTGACCCAATCTGCCGATTCCAGCACCTGATACTCTGACACAAGAGCTCACTGGTACAACCATTCTTGGCAATGAGATAGCCTTGTTTTTTGTCCAAGACATGATTCACTGGTACACCTCTTCATTTAAGCAGCCACTAAACCACTTCCTTTATACTAAATCATTTTACAGACACTGGGTTCACCAGTTTATTTTCTTTCGTCTTCCCCTCACTCCCTCCCATACACGTGATACCTGGACGATGGTTTTGGAGTAAAGGTGATGCACCAAAATTCAAGTCTTCGGGTTTTTTTTCTGCTATTTCTTTTCCCTTCTCATCTGGATATCTTACACTTTCTTCATTCTTTTTTGATACTGCTGATAGCACATCCAGAGCATCCACCACTAAGTCTGTGTGTGTGTGTAGTTTATTAAGGCTTGAAACCATGATTCTGTCTAATTTAGAGGTTTCACAACCCCAATTTAAGAAGCAAGTCAACTTGCTAAAGTACGAAGATGAAATAATTTAAGCTGCACTGCAACAAGGTGAATAGCTGAAGTAATCCATTGAATGCTGTCGAGCAGTGTGTCCTGATGATGAGAGTCAGCTTGTGTTCCCCTGAAGAACAGCACAGGCAGAGGATGGGTGAGCCAGACAGAAGCTTGTCAGGAGCACTATCCTAATACAACTGCTCTTGATGAGAGCCAGGAGAGAAGCAGCAGAGCAAAGTGCTAATCAAAGCTGTTGTTTATTGACATTGGGGGCGTGATACAGAGTGGCCTTGCCAGTGAATTTTGAGCTGCTTGCAATTCTACCCCACCCGCTCTTTTGCAGAGCTCACTGTCGGTGTTCTCGCTGCATACTAGCCTTCAAATTATTCAAAAACAAAAAGCACACGGAACAGTAGTCTGTAGTGGAGGAACCCAAAGATGTGTCTGACACAGCTCTGTGGAGTAAGGAGTGCCAGAGCCATGGGGTTTGGAGACATGGCTCACTTGTTTGTTTGTGGTTTTAACCAAAATTGCTTATTTAGCTTTTCAGCTCGCCAGCAACTCTTGCTTTTCCACTCATAACAGAGCAGACACAGTTTTGCCAGGACACATACAGCTTTGTGATGAGAAGGTGAATTCTTCATTGTGAAAAGGACAAGTAGATATGTCAAACCACATTTTTTGCCCTTTTCACGTCTTCTTTGCACTAGGCTGTGATAAAGATGCTTGGAAGTGGATTCGTTCTCCCTTTTGGTACAAAGGACCTGTCTTGCTGATTTGCATCAATTTCTAACATATGCCATGTCTTCTAGTCTCTGTGTAATAGGAGCAGAGGGAAACATGGTCACACAACACTCCAGCAATCCTTGGCTTATAGACAGTCTCTAGCAGACATTTGCCAGTTGTATGGTCAAGGATAAGACTCTGAGGCTGAAGGGAATAGAAAGTTATAATTGCATTTGAGCTCTCGGGTCTCTGCTGATACAGCAGAGAGTCTAGGGTATTATTTAGAGATATTCTCCATTAGGCAGAGTCTTCTACTTTGGCCAATTTGAAGTAGCAATGACTGAGCTGTCTGCTGTAATTCCCGAAAAAAACCCAATTGCAAAACCAAAGTGACGCAAGAGACTTCTGTTTTCTTTTCCCTCAATTCATTTGCTGGACTTTTCCAGGCCGTATCAGTTCGTGGAACGCTGGCAACGATGATTCACCTAATGCAACAGATGACGCAGCAGATGAGATCATGGATCGCATTGTAAAGTCCGCCACCCAAGTGCCAAGCCAGCGAGCGGTGCCTAGAGAGAGGAAGCGGTCACGAGCAAATAGGAAGTCATGTGAGTATAAGGCTATTAAATTTCTCAAAATAAGCAAATGTGCAAATACTTATGTATATCAGTGTAGGAACCAGGTCTTTAGTATGCAGACATGCATTGGTAGTTCATAGTAGCTTGAGTGTGTGCTTAATGATTGGCGTATATTCCTCTTACTATTTTTTAAACAATGTATGCAGTGGATGACTCTGTCTTCTACAGAAGTTGAAATATCCTTAGCAGTAAGGGAAGAAGAATGTTTTATGGTGCTTTAGAGCTTCTCTGATGACAGTACTTTTTCATAACTAGAGAAGTCAGATCAAGACCTCGGATGGAGACTGTGAAGGTACTGTGAACTGGCATGAAGATTAATAGTTGTATCTGTAGCTGAATTTATTCGTAAAGCAAAAAGTAGTTTGAGAGATTTCACCTCTTAAAATCTTTCTCTCTTGAGCTGCGTACCATCCTTCCACAGCCCTGAAAATAAAATGTCTGCTGCTGCTTGGCCGCAAAGTGTTTATAGAGGAGCTTAACTTCCACTGGGAAGAAAAGGTAGCACATTTATAAGGTGGTCTTTCAACAGTGTAGCGTGGCCACAGGGCTGAGCTGCGACACCCGAGTTTGAGCAATTTCATTTTGCGCTTTATTAAATACAATGTTTAAGAGGTGATGACCTTTCTAGTTCTTTTTTTCCTTATGTGCAGAGACTACTGCGATTACTATGAGAAGGATAAGTACCCAGAGAACATAAGACTGTAGTGTTTAATGTCATTCACCATAATGTGGCTTTTTGACTACCTTTCCATCCATCTTTTTAGCATTTCTGGGAAGTTAGGACAAAGAGGAGACAACAACAGTGAGTGAAAAATCACACGGATTTTCATTTTTTGTGGAATGGTTCTAACATAGTGGGTGATCAAACACACTTGGTATAAGCAGTGATTGCTATAAACTAACATGTGCTGAAAGCATATTCACTTTCTCCAACATGCTAAGAAAGGGACTTCTGCATGTGGCAAGAGCAAAAGCAAAGTGGACACTCTGGTTAGATGAGCCAGACTCTAAGCAACGAAAATGAGCTGACACTGGATTGTCTTTCCATCATACACTGTGCCGTTCCTCTTAGTGGCATCACCATCTGCTGCTACCCACTTCCCCACACGGTTCTGGTGTTTTGCACGTGCTGACTGCCCTAGTTGGCTTGTGCGTATCAAATAAACCTCCTGTACGTTTGCCTATTTCCATGGTTTATCCCGTGCTAGTATTTCCTCTGTTAGCAACACTATCTTCATGCACACACACCAAAAAGTCTGATTTCTGCTTTTTACCAGGTACCTTTTTCCCAAGGAAGCACTTGCTGCAGGAAAAAAAAACAAAACAAAACAGGATAATGATAATAAAAATGCTATATTTTTTTCCATGGAGCTGGCTTTTATAGTCAATAAAAACATTAACAGGCATTAAGCATTCAGTAAATGTTTAGGCTGAAACTGATTTCCATTGTAATTAATCATGATAGAATCCAGCTCTTTTGCTTGTTTGTTCTTCAAGATCTGGATGAGACTCTTAAGTGGATTAAAAGGCAGTTTCAAAACAAACATAAAGTTCAGTAGTTTAGCGTCACTTTCAGCTGATGTGCTGAAAGAAAGTGTGAAAGGAGAATGTCTTAACGGAACTGTTTCACTCTGATAGATAGTCAATATACCTGGATGATGAATAAATGAAGTAGTTTAGCTCTAAAATACACTCAGCTGGACTGATAATATGGCACCTCCAGGAAATGACCAGAGACCAGCCCTTGTCAGTGCATGATGAGAGTTAAATGAGCAGAAGATCTTCCAGATAGAAATATACACAGGGCTTCCATAAACATATTAGAAAGTAGATTTTTAGGCATCCTTCAATGATTTGGATTAGCAGACGCTATGATATTTATTATCTGCAGAGCAAAGAGACCCTATTATCTGATGGGTTTGATTCGCCACCTTCAATCTTCAGGCTCCCATACACATCCTTTGGCTTTTGTCATGAGCTTGGCAATCTATTCATGGACATCAAAGCGAAACTCAGTTGAAAGGAATTATTTTCACTGTACATCATGTTGCATATGTCTCATTGCTCTCAGTGCAGAACTGGAAATCCTGTCAGGCTTACTTAGCATTCAGCAAAGATTTTCGTGAACCTGAGCTGAGATACGTGTTTTTAGCAAAATCAGAAACCCAAAAGATTTATACACAATTGCACTGTAAACATTTCCTGTGGTTCAGGTAGAAGGTTCTCATGAGTGAGGGATTTTTTTTTGCCATTAAAAAAGACACAAAAATGTGAAGTAAAAAGCAAGTGATGCTCAAGTCATTTGTAACTAGGGGAAAACAGAAATAAGAATATGGAAAAGCTTCAGTTAAATTCAAGAAATAGTTGTAATGGGAAAATGAGACATTTTGACATGCTCCTTTGAACCATTTTACCTTTTGTAATTGTTGAGTAGTGTGACCGTACCTCATATGCAGAAAGCTTAGTTAGATCTTAATGACGTAGAAGAGTTTGAACTCTGAGAGCAATCAGTAGAACCATATAAATTGGGAGGAGGAATAAGGCAGTGAGTCATCCAACAAAAGACAGATGGAAACATCTGTATATGTTGGTTGAAGATACAAAGGGTCACTGATAAATCCAGATATGACTGAAGTCGACTGAGACCTAGTAGGAAGGAATTTGTTCAGTGGGAGCTGAAATGGACTACGGAAAGCTAAGGTACATGGTAAGTGTGTAACAACTGAGTTCCTGTGATGATCTGCAGAGAGGGAACTTAATTCTGTGCTAGACTTTTACACAGTGGAGGTTTTTAAAGATAAAATTTGACATTTGGAAGTACAGTAACCAACTGGAAGTCATTGCCTCATGACGGGTGTTCAGTGACCTGCCTACCAGACATACTGAAGTGGTGTTCTATATGAGAAAATAAGATTACAGTTGTATCCGTTCATTAGAAACCTCATCAGAAAGCCACAGGGTTGAATGAGCCACAGAAACTGAAATGCTCTGTCACCCCTTCAAGGTGGTCATTCAAAGACAGCTTCAAGGCAAGTTGCCATGGGAAGCTTCTGCTGGTTTTTTTCTCTCTGATGTCTTTGTTCTGTAAACAACAGACCCCAGCCTCCAGAAATATCAGTTCAGCATATTTTAAAAGCATAAAATACAAATTAGATTGAAAATATACTGTTTCTGTTCTTGAAGACTAAGGGCAGCTTTCTGTGAGAAAGGTTTTTATAACGTTATGGGGAGCTGTTCAACTTAGCAAAGAAATAAAAAATAACATAATTAGGATTGTCTGGTTCTCCCATAAGGTTAGGATGACCTTCATAAACGATGCCATAACAAACAATGAGTGCAAAGGAAAATTGGGATAAGGAAGTTTTAAGAATCACTCTATTTGCTAGTCCAAATTCCAAGGAATACAATTGCTGAAGTTAATTTTAGCAGCTTACAGACCAGTATTACAGGCGTTGCACCAGTGGATTTGGGGAAATACAAATGAAACTCTCTGTATGAGATACCACTGAGATTTCAAAAAACAGTCAAGAAAAGAGGTTATTTAATACAAAGAGCTGAATTACAAAAAAAATAGATAAGGTAGATAAGCAGACTTTGCTGTGAAGATTGCAAGAAGTGAGGTAAGAGAAGAAATTATATAAAGAAGAACAGGGCTGCTTAGAAAATCCTGTCACTAAATGAGAGTTTCACATCATGATGAATCAGCCTGTGCCAATTGCTTCAAACTGGGGGAGAAGAAAAATAGGTCTTATAGCCACAGCAGCTTAGAGGCAACAGAAGACACATAAAGACAGTATCATCCATAAGATAAACATTTTACTTAAGTACATTTAATTAAAAGAATGCCCCCCAAATTCCATAATAGACAAATAGGAAGATAATGCTGTTTTCCTTCTTGTCCTGGCTATTTATTTAAAACATCCATCCCCTGACATAAAATCAGTTCTCTCAGGATTAGACTCTTACAGAGGTGCTGTCTCTGTGTTGGTCTCATTGAACTGAATGGATCTGTCTCAGGAGAATGATATGATTCCCATGAGTCAGCGTCACGAAAAATCATACTCCAGTTTAGTAATCATGAATAAGCACATGGAAGGTATTCACACTAATTCTGGCATACGCAGAGCAATACTTGGAAATGTTGAGCCAAACAGGGTTTATTTCTGACCTCTGTGAATGGCCATGGCAGGGCTCTGAAAAAGGACCAAGAGAAAGTCCTAAGGATTCATTACCTTTTTCAAGTGCTGATTAAGCCACAGGGTAGCAAAACCAGATGAGCTGACTAGCAATTACATTAAGGCTAAAACATGAACCTGGTAGTATCTTCCTCCTTCTTTATGAATTGTTAGTATTAGCAGCCCTCGTGCTTGAAAATGTGTCTGCTGGCTCCCTAAAGTCAAGGCAGTGGTCAAAGAGTGGGGATCTTGATGCGGTCTTGCCAACAAATAACTGCAGATAACTGCACCGAGGAAATAGCTCTTTAAAGATGGCTTGACTATACAGCACTGTTTGCATCTGGATCTTCAGCTGACCCTGAATGGTAAACCATAATGTAGGGCCCAGGTGTGACTAATATTTGGTGATGAGCAGCACAGTGGTGGTTGTACTGGATTCTACTGGAGACGCTGCATGAGGACATTGCAGAGTGAGAGGCTTGTTTTCCCCGGCATTGTTTTATCTCAGAGTGCCTCTCTGTGTGTGCATTCTTACTTCTCTTAGATTTTATTAAAATTGAAAATCTGCTTTAGATTTGAATTAGAGAAGTGGGTTTGGAGCAGATGATAATTGAATCAGAATTTAATCCAATATTCGAATGAGACAACTTGATCAAAATTATTTGTGACGTTTAAAAAAGAGAGGAGAGACATGATAATGCCTTGTTCTTTTATTAGGCTTTGGAACCACATGTTAGCCTAATAATATACCCTGTGACTGACCCTTGAGACATGGAAACATCTCATAAGGATTTA